ACATGGACATCCTTCCCCAGAAAAGCAGAAACTAAAAGCTGCTTCTCCTGGTTTGGTTTTCATTACGATAACACTAAGCAAACTTTTTTCCAAACGAGCTCAAGGGGTTAAGGTGCTCCATGTATTCAGGTTTGAGTCCAGAACTAAAAATGTCTGGTGGTGTAGTGGTCAGCAACATGGCCTCACAGCCAGAAGGTTCTGGGTTGGAGTCCCCGGGGGAACCAGGACCAGAGGGTTCTGGGTTGGAGTCCCAGGGGAACCAGGACCTTTCTAGGTGGAAGGTTCTGGGTTCAAGTCCATGGGTTCTGGGTTTGAGTCCCCAGGGTTCTGGGATTGAGTCCCCGGTTTCTGGGTCCAAGTCCCCGGGGGAACCAGGACCAGAGAGTCCTGGGTTTGTGTCCCCGAGGGAACCAGGACCTTTCTGTGGCCCGAGGGTTCTGGGTTGGAGTCCCCGGGGGAACCAGGACCAGAGGGTTCTGGGTTTGGAGTCCCGGGGGAACCAGGACCAGAGGGTTCTGGGTTGGAGTCCCCGGGGGAACCAGGACCAGAGTCCCCGGGGGAACCAGGACCAGAGGGTTCTGGGTTGGAGTCCCGGGGGAACCAGGACCTTTCTGGGTGGAGTCTGCGTGTTCTCCTGTGTCTGTGGGTTCTCTCCGGGTTCTCCGGCTTCCTCCCACCCTCCAAAAACCTGCATGTTAGATTGGTTGGACTCCAAACTGCCCTTCGTGTGAGTGTGTGTGGTTGTTGGTCCTTGTGTGTCTCTGTGTGGCCCTGTGATGGACTCCCCCATTGACCAATGGTTTAGGCTCCAGTCCAACTAAACAGATTTATTCTTCCTTTTAACGTCCATCTTTGGGCAAATCCACTCTCCAGGATCTGAGATTTTGGGCTAAACCACAGGGAAATCTTAAATTTGGGTTTACTTTAGCACAACTGCACCACTGGAGCCAACACCCACTGCCCTCTGCTTTTTTTTCCCACAACAGTTCAGAGTAACCTAAAATAACTCATCCATGGATCAACATTCACCTGCATTTTAGCGACTAATTATTCATATTTCTGCAGGGGCTCCTGGATGATGACATTTCCCGTTCCTGGGTGGAAGTCTGTTTAAATGCTATTTACGCCTGTCATGTTGGTTTTTGAGTGGCATGGGGCTCCCCTCCTGCTACCGCATGTTTTATTAAACCAGGTTCTCTGACTGAGACCCGTGTTTAACCGCCAGTGTCCTTTCCCGGGATCTGACATTAGTCCTTCTGCAAGCTTTTGCAGCCGGTTTAATTTGGCGGATTTGAGATTCTCCCGCACTAAATCGTTCTACTTCTCTTTCTTTTTTTTTTCTTTACCTGTGAAAATTGGCTGGAGACCCACGTGCGCGGTCTGCGCGGAGGCCTTTTATTCCTTTGACGTCAGGTAGTTCTCGGGTGACCTGAATGCGACATATTGGCCAGGAGTCGTCCCTTTCTATGACAGCCCTCTGGTCACTGACCTCCCATTCAGACTCTCCTCCTTTAGCTTTTTTAAATGCACCTAGAGAGCGCATTTAGGTGATAAACTATTTGTGTGCTTTACTAATATAACCAGGGCAAAGCTCCGAAACTCTACTTGTAGCAGCTATCTCTGCATATCTTTTTTGTGGCAACATAATGGGCTCCGTTTAAAGTGGTGGTCCTCTCTGGACACTTTAGTCTGGTTTGGCCACCTATATTCTGCAGACTATTGCATGGTTTTAGGCTTGGACATGGGATTTTCCTCTGATGCTTACTCGTCCGATGCAATATTAGGCATTAACGGCCTGAAAGCATACAATACTTTATGTATATAAGGTCTATTCCATGAAAAGAGGAGTTACACTTGACTGTCCTGCTGATTATAGCTCGGACTGCTTTAAAGTAACTTGCAAACTTAGATAAAACTTAAATGACAAATGTATTCATAAGCAGGATGAGCACAACTGTCAATACATCATTTTACTCATTTAAGATGTGAAGTGGATTGAGAGAGCTATACAGTGTCCCTATCCTTCACATTTACTCAGATGTTTGAATCGATCTTTTTAGAAAATAGTTGGCCTCAGAAGCATGTTAGTCCCGTCTTTCTATTTTTTAAAATATGTTTTCAAAATAATCCATTTCACGATCAATTTGTTTTTTAACCAGGAAACTAATCCCATTTTTTAGAGGTTTTAGAGGAATAACTACATCTTTAAATCATCTGGAAATATTCCTTGAGTTTAACTCTTAATTTTCCTTTTTTTTTTTTAAGTTGATTGTTATTTGAACATCTTATTGGTGCACAGCGTGTGTGCTTCGTGGGAAGCCACAAAGCTCCGTATCACGGGAGAGGAAACCCCGTTACTGTACACACGAGGAGCTGTTTTTGCCTTCTTGTTTTTCCAAAAATATTGTCTGATCAGTGGATGACTCCTCTATATTTGTGTCCCATTTTCAACGCAAGTTATCACACAACATTTTAGGAGTGGCACTCATCACTAAGATCCAAACTGTTAAATCTAATGGTTGCATTTGCCTGACAGCTAATGTCTCAGCAAAATGGTTCCTATCTGTAAACGGGAGTTCTCTCTAGGTTTCCACCGTCCAAAAAACACGGCTGTTTTAATTGCTATTTCTAGATCTACTCTGGGAGTGGGCGTGAGGCTCTATGGTCATTCCACTATGGGCTGGACTCTGGCCTCTTGACCACTGACTCCGGGGAGAGAGTCCAGCTCCCCGGAAAGTCAAACTATAGAAAATGGATGGCTTTCTAACTAATAGATCTTTTTTAGGAGCAACTTTGACCTATTTTTTTAATTCTATTTTTCTCTTTTTTTATTCTTCTCTAGTATACTTCGAACCATATTTCAGCCATGTTTTTAAAAAGTCAGACTTTTAAAAAGATTGCATTGTAAATATTGACTAAACCTAACTTTAAATACGTGCCACGATGATCCGGGCTACATCATGCAAAATTAGAATATAGGACAATGCATTTAACTGTTTTGCTGAATTATAAAAATATTCTGAAAGTGAAGCATACAGGATGAAAAGAAAGACAGTTCAATCTACCCACATATAGGGGGGGGGGGGGGGGGGGGGGGTCGACCTGCTTTAAGTACCTTGCTTGTCGAAAATGCAATACATGTTTACGCATAAATAAATAGCAATTAACACAACGTAAGTTTTAAGAAGGTTCCATTTCTGCCTTACAACTATTCTATTAAGAAACAAAA